TTCCTTTATTAAATGCATATTGAATGCTAATGTGTTCAAGAACATTGGCTTTTCCACTGAGAACGGCTCTCACATTCATAAAATTTGTAACCTAGAGCCATGGTGGCAAATTCACCGTTTCCAGCTCACGACCACTGATCTCATGGGTGAAACTGTACACTTGCTGTGCACAGGGCTGTGCCTCAAGATGCTAATGACCAATACCCAAATAATGAATATGGTGAGAACAGTAATAAGCTGGGAGGGATGCAGGGATGATTTCAAAAGGAAATGTGTTTTTATTCACCCACAGGTGTGCTTGAAGGGAAAATTACATTGCTTTCCATTTGGGCGGTTGTAAGAAAATACCGTGGCTTTTATTTCCCACTGTTGTGCAGGGTGGAAGGCCCAAGATCACAGTGCCAGTGGGCCCTGCTTGCTGGTGTTACATGACTGTGCTGTCTTTGTGTCCTCACACAGTGGAGACAGGGTCAGCTTTCCTCCTTGCCAAGAACAGGAACCCTGTTAGGGGCTCATCACCGCTTCTCCCAGGCACCCAACTTCCTGCTGCTGCCCACTGGGGGTTAAGGTTGCACTGAATTTTTCTACTTCCTGGCCGTCTCTAGAGAGTTTATGCTCCCTTCTGTCCCCACAGCCTGACCTGTGCTGGAAGCATGCATGATCTTTGCCCTAAGGAGTCTTGAACTCATACTCCAAGAAAGATGCCCTGGAAAGGAAGACCAAGGAAAATTCTATGAGGTTACATTAATTCTAGGGTTTGTGGCATCTTGTTTTAAAATAAGTGATGGTGATGATGAAGCTAACCTTTTTTTAAAGGGAAGCTACAAGTAGAGTTAAAAAGGGAGTGAAACAGATCAAAGTGGGGACAGAATTAGATGGCCTAGAGCGAGGGTGCCGGCCTTTCCCTGATCTGACTCTGCAGTTCCTTGATCTTACTAAACACCAGTTCTGGTGGCCACTGCTGGGCTTCCTGATTGCCACAGACCTTGCTCATTCCATATTCACTGTCTGCTCCATTTTCCTCTGCTCAGCTTACAGCTTCCTCCAGTGACATGACCTGCAAAATAATCACTCCTTTTATCTTCTGAAGTGACTTAGCTCCCTACATTGCTGTTTCACTGATTTTGGATCTATATGCCATTAACCTTGTAGACTTACTAGTGTGATCTAAGTCTGAATCCTTACCTTAGTAGTAACTAGGTAAATGTTTACTGACTACCTTAAACATATAACTGTCTCTTCCTTCTTAAAGAGGAAGAAGTCTGAGCCAACTTTACAGGAGATGAGTGCGAGGTGCTTACCACTGTGCTAGGTGCTATGTGAGACACAAAAGAATCCCACAACAGAGCTGTCAAAGCTTGGTTTGTTGCAGGAGCAAGATACAGAAAAAGAAAACAGTATGTCACGAAACAGTAAGCTGAATATAACCAAGTATCCAGTGCAGAGTACTCAGCAAGGAGAGAGGTACTGCTGAGCACTACCACGAATGCATCAGTCCCTAAGAAAGGGAAAGTGTGCTTCAAGCTGAAGCACCAGGTGCGGCAAGCAGAGCAACGGAGCAGTGACTCCTCCCTGACATCTCCCTAGACTTTCTGCTTCTCCCTCTGCCCACCTCTCCTTGTCATTCCAGCCCATTTGGAAGCACACATGGCACTGCATAACAGCCCTAGACTCAGTCACATGTCAAAGGCTCTCTAGAGAGAAGACCTTTTTGAATCTAGAGACAGAAATCTTAACTCGGAAAAGAAAGGTTTCAAAAGTACCAGGAGCAACTTGAAGCCCCAGAAATTTTGAGTCACCGTTATTTAAAAAGCCAAAGGGAGGACAAGCTTGAGGTCAGCACCTAGATTCTCCCACAGGAATACACATTTAACCACTTTTAAGAACTGTCATTTTCTGCACGAACCTTCTCACCTTCTGTTCCTCTAGTCTACACTTGATTCAACATTTCAAATGTACTCCGGCGTGAAGAGTCATTTCCCCACTGTTTTATCAAGAGAATGAGCAAATTAATGGGCAAGATCAAGCATCAGCGGGCTGTGTGAAAATCTAGCTTCCCTTCAGGTGACCCCAAGGGTGTTACTGGCTCTGGTTCTTACAGACCACAGGTAAATTCTGGGTTTGGGACAAGGGTTCAGTGGCACCAACACCTTCCCCAGCTGGGCTCGGCTCTGTAGGCTCTCACAGAGCCTGCCTTGCACCTCTCTCTGCAGCACGCAACCCCATCTGCATTCTCTAGCCAGATCTACTTCACCTCTCAGGAAGCAGCCAAATGCAAAGGTGGAGATGGAGGGTGAAATGGCCATGTGGAGGCCGGGTCTCAGGAAGAGTGATCTAACAAACAGCTGCTTCAGCTTGGGTTCAGGTTGTAGGGAGCCCAGAGCCACCACTGTCTCCAGGTCCTACCACACCAAGCAGGGCTGAGGTAAGAAGTGCCCCTTCCCACTTCCGGTGACCATTTCGGGCTGGTCAAGGGTAACAGCCCTTAAAAGCTGATCTAACACGAGCCATTACTAAAATGCATACAGAAGAGGGAAAAAAACAAATCTTTTTGAAAAAGCACTTCACAAAACCTGAGGGCAACACGTCTATGATGGGCCTATCTATTCTCACCTAGATTCAAATAAAGAAACACTCTGGGATGTAGTTATTGGCCACTTTATATCCTGAAAATATTTCTGATAATAGCTTGTATTAAACAAATGTAGGATAATATTTTGGTGAAGGAAATAAAACCTAACTTCTACTTGTTATCCACACCATTAGTAGAACAAAATTCATTTCAGTGCAAACTCAGGAATTTTATGTAACCATTAGAAGAAACTTTAATGTTTTATGATATCACAATAACAGAAACATTTTTAAAAGACTTATTACAAACTATCTTGACATTAATCAAACTTTTAATGTATCAATTTATTGCATGTCAGTACAGAAAATAGAAAGTATATTTTAAAAGAAATTTATTTTAAAAATGTAAATGTCTGCTTGCCATGGTTAGCACACAATGTATGATGACATTCAAATCTGATATAAAATGTTATGACTGCTTCAAATAAAATATGGCAAATGATTTACTTTGTGAAATTGAATCACCTTACTTTATCCTGAACATACTTGAGTATGTTGAAAACAACTTGAATTTTCAGTATATGGTGTACCAACAGAAACTACTATAAATTATGTTCAACACACACCCGTTACATATGCATATACAGCACTTTTTCTTAAAAAAGGGTTGCATACACAGTCCTATTTTGAAACTATTTTTAAGATATAAAATATAAATGGAGGTATATTTGTGCCACTAGGCAAAAACGTATCCACTACAACTAGGATGAGTGTTGACATTGCCTTACTAATGAACCCGTGTCAGGCTAAGGAGATGGGTGGCACAGGGAGGGCAGCATGGACAGAAGTGCTCTCCACTTTCTACTCAATTGAAAAAATAGAAGTCTGTGCTCTGTCACTTCCAACTTTACCTGAGTAACACATGAAAATACACACATTTAAGTGAGCAATCTAAAATGGTTATTTGTAACTGAACTTTCCTTCCGCAGTTATTTTTCCATATTTATCAAACACGATGGAGGAAGATAAATGCGGGATTTCAGCTTCTCCAGCCCACCAGAATGAAGACTGGACTCCTGCAACACCCTCCCACAAGGGGCTCACGTTCGCCTCCCACCTCGGGAGGGAGGAGTCACAGATGCAAACTACCAGGCTGTGCAGCCCCGCAAGCTAGTTCCATGAAACTAGTGATCATGGCCTTCATTCTTAGATCCACAAACCGACTCTCATCTGAGTCACAGCTTACAAATGAGAAAAGAATAAACATCAGGTGGAAGAAATTCTCAAGACTACATACTGCACTCCTCTCACTCTGGTAATACATTACCAACAGTGAGCTAAAGCCAGCTCAGCATAACCTGAAGCTTCTCTGTGGCCAAATTCAGAGCACCACTTAATAAAAGGATCAGTTTTACTCATAACCTATCTGCAGAACTGTAAGGCAGGTGCCCAAGCACTTCCTTTGTTAGAAAGGCTTTGCATTATAAGTCGTTCTGAATTTCTTCACTAATTTCATTGATTAATCATTCCTCTAAGACTGTTATCTTATTTCTTTTCTGGCATTTCTGTGCTACCAGTGCTGTTTTACTGGTCACAAATTATTTTCTTCCTTAGTTAGTAGTATTCTTTTTAGCTCCTTTCTTAAAATCAGCCCTCCCCAACCCTATAATTGTCTGTAAAATATGGAGTTTCAGATTTTTTTCTCAGTGAGTTTATCTGGTAATATTTAAGATTTTAGTATTTCTAAATGTATAGTACCTTAATTCACAATTCACCTAGGATCTTCTCTAGCCGCTCCTGAACAAAGGGGCCACAAATTAGCAGCCAAGATGGACATACTTCCCTTCCCACCAGAGAGGGGCTAGAGAAGGTGTTACTCATACCAAGTTTTACCAAGCCCAAACGCTCTGGCCCCAGGACTAGAACTGTTTTCAAGGCCTGTGCCATGGGCTCCAAGGACCCTGCAAGCATGAACTTGTTCCTCACCCCTTCCTATCTCAGCTAAGTCTCAAACACAGAGGCAGTAAAGGCAGACATCCGGTGACCCCAAATAAAGCCACTGCCCTTTGCTGCAGGCAGCAGGCTTCTGATGCGAGAATGAAGGTAGCAGACAGCACACAGAGCGCCACACCTTCTGAAGTCCTAGTTTTAAGGGCCGGGGGATGGGTCATAAACCTCAAGTATCAAAAAAGAAAAAAGCAGCATGAAGTAACACTGATGAAGTGCAAGATTATAGGCTTCATCAGCACCTTCACAGGCCGGTAACTTCTTCCCTGGTGCTGCAGATTGAAGGCCTGTGTGAAGACACTGCAACACTCTGTAGCCTTTGTAAAGTGATACAAAGGTGTGCCACAAAGCTCGGGTCTCAGTATACACTCTGTTGTTTTCTTTTTTAATACAGTACTATTTACCACTCTACAGAGCAATGATTGACAAGATAAAAAGTAACCTTTAATTGCAAATTTATACATAAAAATACACCTTCCATGATATGCATTACCAATTCTTTTTAAAAAGCAAGACTTTTTACAATTAATAATTTATAGAAAACCATTATTCTGTAGAAATCATACTGGCAATAATTTATTTTTTTCTACATAATGGCATAAAGTGAAGGATAGAGATGCTATTTGGCAGAAGTATTTATAGCCCTATCTTCACAGAAAGGGTTTCAAATTAAGGTCAAGATTACTGACACCTTATTTCTCTGCTGCAGTTAGTTACAGAAAGCCAATAAATATAGCGAAAATATTCCAAGTATCACATGTTAGAGCTGATGTTATAACACACAGACCTCAGTTACATCTAGGTTTTGAAGACTGCTCACAACTTGGCACAATGCTACCTTGTAGCTCGTATTTTATTAAGGTAAATCTTGCAAGGTTTAAGGGACGTCTTTTTGTAAGATTTTTCTTACTTTTCTATATATCTAAATACTACTTCCCACCTACAGCCACTTAACTGTTAGCTGTGGTCGTAAGTTGTGTCAAAGTGCTCTAGACTTCCTTCAATCCCATAAAAAATTTCAAAAGTAAAAATGTCAGACTTTATAAAGCTGTCTTCTGATGTAGTTCTATTTTGTAGCAAATAGAAAACTGAGCTAATAAGCACATAGCTTGTTTTGGTTTTGTAACTTTTATTTATTTTCAAAAAGTCCAATAAATGTTACGTTGGCCTTTGGTGGGCTGGGCACAGCCTTCACACTGGGACTTAGAAGTCGGTTGTGAGAATTACTAACGTAGTATGCGCAATCATAAATACGTCTTTCTGACAAATCTTAAGCAAGGTCTCATTTTCACTATGACCACCATCAGTGGTTCAGCTGTAGACTTACAAAACTGACAGAAGCTAAAATTCTCTTCGCCATCAAAATTACAAATATTAAAAAGTTCAAATGTGCACAGAAAGCTGTACTAAAATTCTAAGTTTCCGCTTCTACCTGGCATGATCCAGACCGCATCTCACAAAAACATGGAACATTTATACTGGAAAACAGGGTCCCATTTATTTGTAAGAAAAAGCTGGATCTCAGCGTTCACCACAATAAAGTTCAACAGCAACCTGCACGCAGGCTCATTTCACTCCTGCCAAAAATGAAAGAGCTCACATAAAAATAGATATCACCCAGGTAGCCACATACAGTGGTCTATGACCAGTGCTATTTACATTAAAAAATGTTGCATTGCATAAGTCAAGGAATAAAATACATCATGCATTTCATTTTAACTGGTAAGGTGAAAAATACAGTTACAGAAGTTTGCTTACCATGATTGTCCCAATAGTTACTAAAGGAATTATATCCAAAGGTTTCTTGTCCCCACATCTCCTTCCACACCCAGCTAGTAACCTAAGTGTAACAGACTATGCCACTTAAGCAACAAGAATCTTCTGAGTAATTTCTATTTTACTGACACAGTAAACTAAAATTATGGATACATAATCACATTCAAAGTTTTGACGAAAGTGTATGTAACAATCCCAAGAATCACAGTTCTTGAAACGTAAAAAATGATCTGATTCATCATAAAAGAGTGCTGAGGTCCTTTCAAAGCTGAATGTCACCTTCAGACAAATAAGACATAACACGCTTCTAGAAAGGAACATTCTTTATCATTCTGCACAAATTAAAATACAATGCATCAATCAAAAAGGAGACATTAGATAATTGTCACACTGGATGAAGTTTTTGTCATCTCTTCCGGTGAGTGGCTCTTGATGACTTCCTTGATGAACTGTTCGAGTGCAGTGAAGTAGCCTTGGCACTGCCATGTGTCGTTGTGAGTTCCATCTGGAAAAATGGCTAATCTCTTAGTCCGTGACGGGGACAGCTCATAAAGCTGCTTCATCATCACTGGTGGGATTAACTGGTCAGAGAGTCCCGAGATGAAAAGAGAAGGCATTCTGCACTGAGAAATCTTTCTGTAGGACAAAAATTTATTCTTGTAGCACCATAAGGGAAGGTAACGCATGGGGAAGAAGGAAAATAAAGTGCTGGCCATATGCGGTATGCTCAGAAAGGTGTTCTCCACCATAATGGCTGAAATTCTGTGTGAATTCTCAGAGGCCAGGTGAATGGCCACTGCCCCTCCCAGGGAACGGCCGAAGAGGAACAGCTTTGTTTTGTCAATGTCCGGTCTGGCCATCACATAGTCCAGCACAGCCTCGGAGTCCAGGTACAGCCCATCCTCACTCGCTTCGCCTTCGCTCTTCCCGTACCCTCGATAATCCACCAGCAGAAGGTTAACCTTGAGGTTAACCAACATGAGCAATGCGTTTGGCAGCCTGTGACCTATGTTACCCGCATTCCCGTGAAAATAAATTATAGTTGGGGAATAGGGGGAACTGTCTCCAGTGTATCTTATCAAAATAAGATTCAGACGAACTCCATCTTTGGTTCGGATGAAAATGTTCTCATGCGGAATGCCGGTAGGCATGGGGACATAAAGGCGTGAAGACGATGGCTGTTCTGGAAAATAAAGCAATACATCCTGAAATTTATAGAGAATACCTGCGATGGATATGAATATCAACAAAAGCAAGACAAAGCCTCCATAAAGGTGGAAAGTCACTATTAATGGTAAAAGAGAAATGCGACAGAGCGCCCAAGACCATGAAGCCAAGGCCAGCAGCCATCTTTCGATGAAGTTCCACAGCACCCAGGACTTTTCCATGATCGCTCTCCGTAGGAGTCCTAGAGAAAGACAGAGAAGACCAATGGTTACGCGCTTAAGTAACGGTGTGACGGTAAGGTACATTGGCGGGTAAACTCAGTTCCCAAGAAGCCTGCATCGCTCACCAACGAAATGTGGCTTCCCTTCCTTATCCTTCTGCTCTCAGCAGCCTTCATCTACTGTGCCCTCCAATGGCATGTTCAAGGAATATAAACATATCCTGAATTCATTCATTTTTCTAAAAGTGCTTACTTCCTGCCAAGTACCTTCATCCAGGCACTCCGACTCACCTAACAGAAAAATGTGCTAGGGCACCCCAGTTTCACCATGTGGACACAAACGCTGAAGGGCTACAGGGATTCAGCCTCATCCCAGAAAAACAGGGAGGCAAAGAAATGTGATTCCAAATCCCCTGGAGCATCTACCCTACACCACACTATCAGATCCCAACCCAGCCAGGTCAATTCAACACATCGCACTTTCTTTTCTACATTACAGAAAAAAATTATGACTAAATGAAATAGGACAAAAATAAAAACAGCTCTCTGCAGCTGAAGCTTTCTCAAACTTAAATAATTTGTTCCATCAACAGATTCCAACATGACAATACCTTCAGGAAAAAGCTAAATGGTTTGACTTTCATGTCCAACTTAAGCACACATCAGATTGGTGTCATCCTGAGCTGTCCAGCACCCTTCACATAACCCTTGTGAAGTTTTACAGCACAAGGTCAGCAAAGATCGCTACCACGCAGTGACAGTTGCTGCTGGGGAGGAGCATGACACGGACTCCAGTGAGTAGTGATGGGATCCTGGGGGAGGAGCGGAACGCACAGAAAATGCACAGAACCCACAACCCAGATTGAGACACATGAACAACATAAACGGTTACCCCACGTTTTGAAAAAGACTGCAACAAATAACTGACAAAAAGAAAATAAGTTACCAAAGACAATTTTCTTTTTATCATAAAGTTTATGCCTGTTTTAAAATGTCAAAAGAATCTGAAACAGTGCACAAGTTTTCTTACACACTATTCATCCAAGTATGCTTATTTACAAAAGTGCACAAGTTTTCTTACACACTATTCATCCAAGTATGCTTATTTACAAAACTTTCTTTACTTTAAAGAGGGTAAGATTAAATATAACAAAACAGATCATAAGGAAACAATTTAAAGAAACACAGATTTCAAAACAAGTCCACCGGAGATCTTCACTGTCTATCTTATTGTCTCTAGTGTTCTTCCAAATAGTTGTCCCCATCTTCACATACATTGAATACATACTGAACATTATAGAACTAATCAAATCATTACAGGATGATGAAGGCTTTTTAGGTCTTCAAGACCTGATTTTGGGGAAGTCAATAATGACTACCATAATGTCTCTCATTCTCTTTGTAGCAGCTGTCCTTATCTTTACGTATGCTGAAATTGAACATAAGAAACTAGACTAATATCACTCTGAACAGTGAATAATAGTACTGCTAGATTTTATATCATAATGCTACAGATTTAGCACTGAGTTTCTTAGTGCTTCTTCTTCAGAGTATCTGTTCATTACATCGTGCATTATATAATCTGTTCCCATAAACTGTTTAGAAATTCTTCCCATGTGTGTATCTCTACATGTGTAGCTATCCTTTCTGTATTATAGGGAAAAACAGATCAAAACAAGACAATAAAACAAATTCCTAGAAAAACATGAAATAAAAAAGACATATAAAACCACAATATTAGGTGACCTACAGTAGTTACTATGCTTTCTCTTATTATTTTCAATAGAATTGTCCACATCATCAGACATAATATAACTGAACATAGCATTACATAGCTATTTTAATAAAAACACAACTTTAGAGACATTGTAGGACTTCAAAAGCAGTTAATAATCAAACCAGAGCGGGCATCTTATTACATCTTGTCATCTTCAGAGTAGTAGCCTCTACTCTCAAGACTTGATACTATCAAGCATACCAAATTCTAATAAAATCAGTCAAGGCAAAAGAGCGGTCTAACCAACTAGATTCAAATAAGATCAGTCATAGTAAGACAATGTAAGAACAGGGCTTCAGTTTAAGTTAATAGGAAATTAAGGATAGTTACCATGGTATAGCCTGCTATTTTTGGGATAGCTGTCTGTGCCCTCAAATCTAGTATGAGTAGACCGGAACAAAATAAAATCAAACTGAGTGATAAGACTACTGTGGCTTTTAAATCTTGATACACTATTAACAATGTCCTCTGCCTTCCTTTTTTAGGCAATTCCTCACGTTTCCCTTTCTCAGGACACTTTATACATTTTGGGTGCCACTAGCTCCTATAGTTTTTAGACTAGGGGGTCAACTCGTTATCTGAGTGGTGCTGAACCTTTTTACCACTGAGCTTGATCTTGAACTGTATTCCTTTAGTTACTAAAGCCACAAGGTTTTCCTTCCTTCTAGCTGTGTAGTTCTCCACTGCACAAAAGTGTCATAACTTTCCAATTTATCTGCGACTGCTGGACAAGTTGTCCCTATTTCTCTCTGGTTCCCTGTCACACAGAGCATCGTTTTCTCATCTTTGACTTTCAGTTTATTAACCCTCTTTCAGACTGAGTATATTTCCTATTCAGAGCATCTCAATGGATCCTGCCTCCAAATCTACTCTGCCTGTTTCTTTTTGTTAGTGTATCAAGGCTATCTATATTGGAGATTACAGCCCACTTCTCTGCCTTATCTCTGCTATTCTATTTGTCTGCTACTATTTGTCCACTTTTCTCCTTCATCCCACTGACTGCCCCATTCAGTGAGGCCTCTCTGCCACTGATGCTGGAATCCTGATATTTCTTCTATCTCTAGAATGTCCTTCAGTATTTCTTGTAGGGTTGGATTGGTGGCCATGAACTCCCACAGCTCCTCCTTGTCTTGGAAACATCTTATTTCTCCATTGATTTTGAGAGGGAGTTTTGCCGGATACATCAATCTGGGTCAGAGGTTGTTTTCTTTCAGGACTTGGTCTCTTTCCCGCCAGGCTCTTCTCGATTTGACAGTTTGTGTTGATAAGTCTGTCCTTATTTTGATGATTTTTCTGTTGTAGATGATCTGCTTCTTTTCTCTGACCACTTTTAATATTCTATTCTTGTGGTGGATTTCTGGGATCTTGATTATTATATGTCTGGGTGTAGATCTGTTTTGGTTGTAGTTGGCTGGAGTTCTGTATGCCTCATTTATCTAGATTATCATTTCTTTTTCCTATGCTTGGGAAGTTTTCCTTAATTATTTCTGTGAATAGCCTTTGTAATTTATTTGTGTTTACTCTTGCTTCTTCGCTCACGTTTTTTATTCTTAAGTTATAGATCCTCTTATCCTCTTCTAGCCTTTGAATTACTTCCTGGTTCCTCGTTATTTTAATAGGTCTTTTCTTTCACAATCACACATTGTAAATCTCTCTTCAAGTTTCAAAAGGCTAACTTTAGTTTCTGTGAAGGCATTTTGCCAGCTTTCAATGGAGTTTTTAGTTTCCTGGTAATCTCTTTGGATCTGTTTCATATTTTCTAGATTTTGTTTATATTCTTCATCAAAGGTTTTCTCTTCCTTTTCTGGATTTCTCCATTCTTCCATCTGTGTTTTCTGGAGAGGGGCTTAGCATGTCTTTAATCTTTTTATATCTTGCCTCACTTGGATTAGAATATTTCAGTTTTAAGTTCCTCTATGAGGTCATGAATGTATTTCTTCATGTCCACTGATGTTGTGGCCAATATTGCATGATTGCTGCACTGGTTCTCTTCTGTATTTACCTGTCCTGGACTTATTTTCCCAGGTCAGCGGCTGGCGGCTTTTTCTTACTTCTTTCTATTGTCATGTTTCTGGTTTCTTTCAGACAGGTGTATGGTGGAGGTCTCAGGCCCTCTCCATATTGCTGTTATGTGAGATGCACACAGGGACAATGCTGGCTGGCCCCTTTCCTGTGAGCCAGTCAACCAGTGAGTGCCTTCAGCAGCTTAGGCTGTGCTGTGGCTGACGTCACTGGATCGGGACAGTTTCATCCCTGCCTACTGGGTCCCGACCAGGGGCGTGCCTCAGCCCAAGCTGATCCCACCAGTCCTCCCTGGGCCAGGAGAGGCTGACTGATGCTACTGCAGTGCTGGACTCTGCCCCACTCCAAGATGTCTTCCAGCAAGCAACACCTGCCACGGGACCCAATTTCCAGCACTCACTTATGAATTAATGCAGCTCTCCACCTTGGCTCTGCTCCACGCTGTGCCACATCCTCCCGCTAAAGGCCCAGGACTCACCAACTCCCATTATTGGCAGCCGCGGCTTCAATGACCGTGAATCAATTGACTCCACGGTGCTCCCAGCACAGGGAGGGATGGGTCTCACTGAGCGTGTCCGGCTCCAGCCCTCCATCCATGCTTTTCCTTCCTCTTCCTATTTTTCTTTTTCCTTCAGTTTCCTCCTGGTGTCGTGAGAATCCCTCTCTATTCGTCCAGCCCTCTCCATGTTGTCAAATTCCAGCGTCTGAGCTATTTTTCCCAGAGGCTCTCCACCCAGCTACCTAGCAAGCTGCCATCTTCTTGTCTCATTTACAAACACTAATTTTCCTTTATGGGCTAACAAAACTACCACAGAGAAGTTATTCTAACTCTAAGAGATAATCACTAATGACTTTTAAAATGTTACTGCATATTATAAACAGACGAACACAGTATTTTAGCATATATAAAACAGAAAAACCAAGTTAAATTAGGTTGGTTATTTAGACAAGGAGATGACTTAATAAATTTGACTTACTGCTATTACTTCACAAAACACAGACTTCATATTTGAATTTTTATTCAAATGAACTTCTCAGCAGAAGCCAAGACCACAGCACTTTCTCTGGACGCCTAGAAATCTAACACTGCCACCTAGTGGCATCAAGGGTTACTACAGGGGCACTATCCACTTGACAAAGATAATAAGGTCAGAGCTCAAAGTGAAACCCTACGGGAGCCAAGTGATAACCCTGCTGTGCTGAAGGATCTTACAATCTGCTG